GGGAGCGCAGCCGGGCTCCCCGCCGCTCTGCACCAGGAGATGGGAGAGGAGGATGCACGCATCTGAAAAGCAAGGTAAGGAAAGCTCAGCCATGAGCAGGGGGCGACAGAAGAAGAGCGAGAGGGTGCACGATCAAACATGGGATGTTGTTTACGGCAAATTTGTGCTGAGTAATCATCGGGAAGGCACGCTTGGATCCTGCAGCTCGGGATAAAGGAAAAAATCCTGCTTCAAAGCCTCGTTACATAATAGGTTTGGGCGAAGATATTGCACTGAAAACTGCTTCTCTTGGCAGCGTAGCACATCGCTGTCTGATGGCAAGTTAAGGTGCTGAAATTCAGCAATATATACTTGGGTATATAGCGTTTAATAACCTCGAGCTGCTCCTTGCTCTGGATACCCCAATAACTCCATGCAGGACATAAGCATCTCTTCTTGCACCCCAAAATAGGTGTTTGTGTATATCAGGACTGTGAAAGCTATTTGGGCAAATTACCTTCAGTGAAGAAAAATGAAGTGATTTTCAGGCTTTAAATAATAATTGTAGCTTATATCTGAACATAGCTGTACTTCCTACAGGAAGGGTAATTGGGTGTATATGTGAGTATATAAATGCTGCTATGAAATACTGATATCCAGCCTTTTGCACCATATCCACTGTGAATCTGACCTTCAACCCCCCCGATTTTATTATACCGAGACAAATACAGAGCTGCATTCCCTTTAAAAACCCTACTTTGGGCCAGAAAAAAAGAGAAAAAAAAAAGTATAGCTAAATGCATACACCAATTGCATTTGCCTTCAGTCCTGCTGAGGCAGCCCCCACCTGGTGCTCCGGGAGGGGACGGCAGGGACGGGGTGGCTGTCAGGGCTGCTGGCTCCCCACGGCACCACTGCTTCAGGTAGGTGTTTATCCCCCTTGGCAACACCTCAGGAGTGCTGCAACTTTAAATTAGGAAATATTTAATGTCTTGCTGATGTCTTTGTGCCTGTCATTACTATAGTCTTATTTTGGATAATGCCAAGGAGAGGAGGAGAGGGAGAAGGAGGAAGAGGAGGGTGAGGAATATTTTGGACCAGGTCTGCAAACTACAGACTTCATTCACCTTCTGCATTTGGACTAGGGCCTCCATCTTCTGATGTCCTTTCAACCATGAATTTCTCTTAGTCATAGTCTTCCCTGAGAAAAAAAAAAAAAAAAAAAAAAAAAATAAAAACAGCGTACCAAGTAATTCCGATGGCACAGGCAGCATGAAGGCAACCCGGGCTGCACTATATTTAGCCAGCCATGACACAGCCGGCTTGTTTATGGTCCCAGAAACACTCCCAGCCGATAGATGCAGCATTTCAGAGCGGCCGCAGCCTTTAAGGAGGAACCGCATTTTGTCCTTGAGCACCGGGTTTTTCCTGCACGCTGCTGGCAGCGTAAGCGCCAACATTTAATTGCTGACCCGACTAATCCGCCTCACGGACGGCTTTGCCCTGGTGCGGATTAATCCTGGGGCCTCCCACTGCACCCACCGCGGCGCTTTGCGCGAGACCTCACAGCTGGATTTTTGGGCAGGATTTGCTAAAATCCATCCCGCTTTGCTGCAAAAATATGGTGGCAGCCCGGTGGCCGTGTGGAAAAGGGAATCGCTGGACCATAGTGGTGGAGAGTTTGGTGGCACCCAGATGTGCCACCCCGGTTTTGGGATCAAAATTGGGCTACCAGGGCTCGCAGGCTCAGTGCTAACACCATAGGGTCGTGTTTTACTGCACCCTCAGCTCTGGTCAGCTGCCTGAAGTTTGCTTTGCAAAGGGAATTAGCATCACCAGCGTGCAAGGGATGTAGCAAAGAACCTAACCCAAGCATCTATAACGAATGGCTGGACCCAAGGGGGTGGCTGCTCCTCTCCTGGAATGCTCCAGAGATGCGGAGAAGTCTGAAACCCCTGCAGGGCTGCTTATGGGGGTCTGGTCTTTGCTGGATGTGTGGTGTCCCACAGCGCTCAAATCTGGAGAAGAAAAATCTCTGGCTGTAGGGAACATGATCTGGAAATCCCAGCTGCAACTGTACCAGACCAAGATACTGTAATTTCCATCCGCCGTAAAAATTAGATTATAGATGCTTTTTCAGGGGTGGATAAAGCAGCCGTGGGAACCTCTCAACATTAACATGCTATAAATATTACTTTTTATTATTTGTACTAAATTATAAGTACTATTTAATGAACTCTTATGGTAGTTTACATGACAATAGTGTATGAAGCCCTGTTTTGATAGGCACTGTAAACCATATATAGACTTTTTTCTCCTGAATAAGTTCTTGCTTTCAGTAGCCAGAAATAATGGGGATAGGAAATAGTACCATTTACATCCCTGAATCATGGCTGGGAGGCAGAGAGATGGAGAAACTGGGTGTGCAGAACAAAATCATGCAGGGAGACTGAGGCGAGAGCCAGGATTTTCT